AATCTTGAAATGTGCATCTGTCAGAAAGCACTCTAAGTTCCCCAAGACTTAGAAATGATGAAGGAGACAATCAATCCTTTTATGGCACATCCAGTTTGGTTCTGAAATTACCCAAAACAATAACATCCATCCATCCATCCATCTATTCTCCACCGCTTATCCGGGGTCCGGTCGCGGGGGCAGCAGCCGAAGCAGGGACACCTAGACTTCCTTCTCCCCGGCCACTTCTGCCAGCTCTTCCGGGGGTATCCCAGGCGTTCCCAGGCCAGCCGGGACAGATAGTCCCTCCAGCGTGTCTTATTGAGTGTCTAATTGGTAGTTAGTAATTAGTAGTTAGCAGCGCTAGAAATATGGACTGTAGCTGTTGGTTCTTCTGCAGTCGATCTCCCACTATTCACTCGAGAATCTCTGGATTCCTCCTCATCATCTGAACCTTGTGAATGCATCTTTGCAGAAGCATTAACTCACTTATAAAACACATAGGAGACAGGAGACATCATTATCAACTGAACTGGTAGCCACACTGCCCCGCTCTGGCCGAACACACACAGAACACAGGGAGGCTCCGCCTTTATTACTTTTATAAACACATAACCTTCCACTTCACAAAGTAGTGCCAACAAAAAACACAACAGTGGCAAGCATCGTATTCAACACCCCCACTCGCTGGTGCCACACATTCTAGCCATGACACTATTTTCCAAACATATAAGAACAACATTTTTCAATCTTAGTTCTTGTGGCAGATTTTGTAAACACATCTGCAACCATGTTTTCGGTCGGACAGTAAACCAAAACAATTTTACCCTGTAAAACATTTGATCTTATGAAGTGGTATTTAATGTCCACATGCTTGCTCCTCTGGCGATTCACAGGGTTCTTTGCAAGGCGTATTGTCCCTTGGTTGTCTTCAAACACCTTTACTGTTTTATCAAAACTGTAGTCCATGTCCTGTAGTAGTTGGGATAGATAGAGTGCTTCTTGGATAGTAGCTGCTAATGCTACATATTCAGCCTCACATGTTGCTCACACTGTTTGCTGTTTCTTTGTTTTCCATGAAACAACAGCTCCACTTAGACTTAGACTAAAACAATAGCCTGTAGTGCTCTTTCTGTCAAGAACATTGTTGGCCCAGTCGGCATCAGAGTATCCCATCAGCTCTAGTTTAGTGTCACACTTGTTATAACACAACTCATAGTTCTTAGTCCCTTGTAAGTATCTGTACACGTGTTTTAAAGCTGTCATATGTTTCTCTCTGGCATCAGACATATATTGTGACAATCTGCTCACAATCCAGCTTATATCAGGCCTAGTACATGTCATGATGTAGATGAGGCTGCCCAGCATTTCTCTGTATTTTCTTTAATCAGTTTGTTCTCCTTCTGGGACCAGATCACATTTGATCTCACTGGGGGTGGCTCTGGGTTTACAGTCAGCCATACCAAACCTTTCCAGTATCTTTTCAATGTATTTGGACTGGTTCATTTTGATAGAGCCTTCTTTTTGTGTGAAATCGATCCCAATAAAATGTGTGAGATGGCCAAGATCTTTCATTTTAAACTTACTTTTCAGTTTCTCTTTGACCTCACTTAGACACATCTCATTGCTTGCAGCCACAACTATATCATCAACCCACACTAACAAAATCACCTTTCCTTTTTCAGAAAAATTAGTGTAGATACAATGATCAGCTTGGCTCTGCACAAAGTCATTCGACATCAGGAACTCATGGAGCATCATAGTCCAGTTCCTCCCAGATTGTTTGAGCCCATAGATAGATTTGTTCAACTTACACACAAGTCGCACATCATTCTTTGATTTAACCTGGAAACCTTCGGGTTGATCCATGTATATTTCATGGCCAATGGGTGCATGTAAGTATGCAGCTTTAACGTCCATCTGGTTCAGTGTAAGGTCATGTTGTGCAGCTAATTGCATCAACACACGCAGTGACGTCAAGTTTGCAGTTGGAGAGAATGTCTCTGAATAGTCAAGTCCTTCTACTTGGCTGTACCCCTTCGCTACATACCTAGCTTTATATGTCTCATTCCCTTTATCATCCTCCTTGAGAGCATATACCCACCTTCCCCCCACTGTCTGCCTACCCTCTGGTAATGATACAAGTGAGAAGGTGTTGTTCTCCTTAAATTAAGTCATTTCATCTTTCATTGCCTTTTTCCACATATCAGATTTTGGCGATGCTAAAGCTTCTCTGTAGGTCTGTGGCAGTCCCACTGTAGCTCTGTAACAGTAGTCAATGGTTAAGTTACTGTTTTGCACTGTACATTCATAGTCCTCCAAGTATTTAGGTTTCTTTCTGACTCTGCCCGTAGTACGTGGAGTCTGTGCATCAGTAGTTGGATTTGTGTCCATTTCTGAGTCTTTCTCAATGTCTGCGGCCGTCTGTCCTGTTATTTCAGTCAGTGATTGGCTATTTTGACTGGGTGTAATGACCCACTCTCTGTAGTGGTCCTCTGGTTGGTCCCAGTCAGTCTGTGTATGCTTCTCAGTCACACTCTTTTCTATAAAGTGGGCCAGTCTGTGTTTCTGAACCTTGTTTATCTCTGAAAAATAAACCAAATAAGCAGGTGAATGACGATCAAAACCAACAAAAATTCCCATTTTGCCTTTAGGATCAAGCTTCTTTTTGTTTTGTTCATACACCATACATTTGGAACCAAACTTTTTCATTTTTGACAGATCTGGCCTTCTTCCAGTTAAAAGGAAATAAGGTGTTTCCCCTGTTCTCTTACAGTAACACCTGTTCCTTATGACTGTAGCTGTCCTGCCTGCATAAGGCCATAGCTTTTTGGGTAAACCTGACTCAATCAGCATGCATCGGACCATTTCAAATAATGTGCGCCAATTTCTCTCTGCAGTCCCATTTTGATGGGGAGAGTAGGGTGCTGACCTCTCATGTTTTATAGCATTGTCCCTCAACAATGACTGGTACTCCTCTGACACAAATTCTGTTCCGTTGTCAGATCTTAGGCGTTTTACTTTACCGTAAGGCGCTGTGTCTGCCAAGAACTGCTTAGTTGCCTCAACTGCCTTGTTTTTGTTTCTAAGAAAGTACACATAAATGGCACCGGAAAAGTCATCAGTGAAAGTGATGGCATACTTGTACCCTTCAAATGACTCTGGTGAAACAGGTCCACCCAGGTCTTTATTTACTAGCTCTAATGGCGCTTTGGCCCTCACATCACTTTTTCTATTTCTACTTTGTGAAAATTTACCCTCTAGACAAATTTCACATTGGCTGGGTCTGGAAGTTTTGTCTTTGATTTTCATACCATTTACAACTCTTTCAAGTTTTACAATATCATCATAGTTGCAATGACCGATTATCTCATGCCATGTTTTTAGATCCAAAGATACATTGCAGGAGTCCTCACCCTTTACATTTCTCTCTGTGACAATGTCCAAGTAGTACAATCTGTCTTTTACCTTCATTTTACACATTGTGCCATCAGGAAGGATCATTTTGTTGTTATTCTTCTCAAAGTTGAATCTCGCTCCCTTCGAAGTTGCTGCATCCACAGATAGGATGCTTTGTGGGTATCCTGGAATCAGAAGTGCATTCGTGAGCTTGATACTCACAACTTTCCCCTCGCAGTCGGTCAGCTTGATCTGTGCATCTCCTATCCTCAGGACACTGCCGGTGATCCGTGTTCCATCCGCCAGCTGCATGATGTGGTTCTTGGGCTGGAAAGTCTCATCAAATTTGATGAAAGCACTCTCGTCAGTGATGATGTGGGCAGACGCACCGTTGTCCACCAGTAGATCTTGCTGCTGTGTGCTGTGGGGTTGCCATTCACTTAACCGAAGCACAAACGACGCTACTTCATTCGTGGTTTTATGCCTGTCCTCAACACGAACAGTTCCTTGTCCAGTGTCTGTAATGGCGGCCACCTTGTTACTGTTTTGTGCGTCGGTCCACCTGCGCTGAATTTTTCTCTCTTTGTTTCTGCAGTCTTTTGCTTTATGGCCTATTTTCCCACAAATAAAGCATTCTCCGTTGAAATATTTTGTCTCTTTAAACTTAGGTTTGGACGCTTTGTAATTTGCAGACATTACTTCGTCTGCTCGGGGCCTGCCGCGGTATTGCAGTGTGCATTCAAAGCTCCTCAGCCTCTCCTTGAATTCGTTGAAAGTTAGCGTTTCTTTTGTCTGAGTGACATGCACAGAAAATGGGTTGTATTCATCTGTGAGACCTTTCAACACCATCGCTGTCAGAAGTGCATCACTGAGGGTCTCTTTAGCTCTGTTTAACGTGGCCACTATCTTTTCAACACGGCCTAGATAGTCCGCCAATGTTTCCCCTTCAGCCATTA